AAGTACCTTTTGGCTATCAGTTGTATGTACAAAGAATATCAAAGTAGAAATTATTTGGGTTCATTTTATTTAATTGTTAACACACAAACTCCAAATTAAACTCACGATAATAAAAACATGAAAAAAGCCACTCAACTTTTAGCGCTCGCCTATTGACTAGGGGCGTTGAACCTCACCTCATGAACGAGAAAAAATGATGAACATAATGTCTAAAGAAAAAGAACTAGCCAAGTTTCTTCACAAGTGAAGAAAGGGAGATGAGACTAGACGAATCTACTACAAGAGTTGAAAACACTTTGTTGCTACTGACTTGCAATCTCGATCTACCGATTGTCAATCTAAAAGAGGCATTACTTCTTCATCTGTATTAGAATTTGCTTTGCTTGGTTAGGACTAAGTAATAAGCGACTAAAGAATATGTCTTTAGCTTTGAGGCTCTAGTTGGAAAGTCCAAAAGGACTAGTGTTTGACCACGATCTCTTCTTCTCCCGTTGCACACGCAATAAGTCTTAATTATGGAAACTCTTTCTCCACCCTACAACCGTATACATAGTCTATTTTTTTTTCTTTTCCCCTTTTGTGTTATTAAATGAAANCCTTAATTATGGAAACTCTTTTTCCATCCTACAACCGTATACATAGTCTATTTTTTTTTCTTTTCCCCTTTTGTGTTATTAAATGAAAAAAGTAAAAACCAAAATCAATCCGAATCGAACNTTATTTTGTTAAATGGGAAAGTTAGTCATCCTTTTCTTTTCTGAACAAATCGAAGAACTTAATGGATCGACCTTGAACTCTGGGTGNATGAAAAAAGTAAAAACCAAAATCAATCCGAATCGAACACACTGAGAACAATAAACACCTGACCATGAAGACGAATCAATCTATCTTTGTATTTTCTTATTGCGAAACAAAAAAGAAGGAAAATAATAGCATTGTGCGCAAATTGTCTGAATTAGGTGGAGAATCGTCTAAGAAAAACTACAAATAAGAAAGAAAAGTAGAAGACTNTGACTTGACAGCGAACCGCCCGGCGACAAAGTGGTTGGTAGATCCAATTCTTCTACTTATCTTTCCTATTTGTAGTTTTTCTTAGACGATTCTCCACCTAATTTAGACAATTTGCGCACAATGCTATTATTTTCCTTATTGTTTGTTTGTGCAATAAGAAGATACAAAGATAGATTGGTTCGTCTTCATGGTCAGGTGTCTATTGTTCTCGGTGTGCTCGATCCAAATTGATTTTGGTTTTTACTTTTTTCATTTAATAATAAAAAAGGGGAAAAGAAAAGAAAAAAATACACTACGTAGGGTGGAGAAAGAGTTTCCATAATTAAGGCTTATTGCGTGTGCAACGGGAGAAAAAGAGATCTTGGTCAAACACTAGTCCTTTTGAACCTTCCAGCCAGAGCCACGAAGCTAAAGACAGACTCTTTAGTCGCTTATTACTTAGTCCCAACCAAGCAAGGCAAATTCTAATACAGATGAAGAAGCAAGGCCTCTTTTAGATTGGCAGTCGGTAGATCGAGATTGCAAGTCAGTAGAAACAAAGTGCTTTCACCTTTTGTAGTAGATTCATCTAATCTCGTCTCCCTTTCTTCACTGATAAAGAAGCTTGGCTAGTTCTTTTTCTTCAAACATTCTGTTCATCCTTTTTTCTCATTCATAAGCTAAGCTTCAACGCCCCTAGTCAGTAGGCGAGGGCTAAAAGCTGAGTGGCCATTTTCATGTTTTTATTATCGCGAGTTTAATTTGTAACTTGTGTGTTAACAATTAAATAAAATGAACCCAAATAATTTCTACTTTGATATTCTTTGTACATACAACTGATAGCCAAAAGGTACTTTGATGAAACGAAAGCTCCATTAGCCAATCATAGTGCACAGGCAAAATTTATGATTATTTCATTTATTAATAATTGCTTTATGCGAAACTTAATATAGGCATTGTTATACATACTGTCTAAGGAATTTTTCATCCAAGAGAGCACCATTTAATGCAAGAAGTCACATTTTTAGAGGTTCCTACAAATTCAATGTTTCTCTGCCTCTTGCATTTGCACTAGAACTTCTGGTTGTGCTACAACACTTTTAAATGCTTGAAACCCAAAGTTCCAAAGTAGGAATCCCGAACTGGGACATTGACTTCGCATCTAAAGGCTGAAACCACCATAGTTCTTGATAAGAAATTTCAAATGCCACCGAAAAGACTCACAACTAGATGTGGAGCCAGGTTTTATGTAGGCAAGAACTAACTGTAAGTCTGCGACTGCACCATAAAAAAAACTTCAAAGGCTACAAGATGTTGAATATGATTAGTATTAATTTAACATAAAGCTCACCACTGCGCATTTCACACCAATGCCAGATCCCAAAGCTTCAAATTGTTCAGCAATCTGAATCGCTAGCTCCCTTGAAGGGGGAAAACCAAGAAAGATATATGAAAACAACAAAATTTGAACAACTACTAATGAAGGAAATGTAAACAATTAAGTTCCTTCTCAAATCAAAATTAATAAAAAGATAACACACCGTGTTGGAGAAAGCACACAGGCAAAGAATGCTTGTGGAGTCTCCAAAAGAGCTTGGAGTATGGGGATTGCAAAAGCCCCAGTTTTACCGGAACCTGTTTGTGCAAGCCCAATCAGGTCCTTCCCTGGAACACATAGTTGAATCAACAATAAAAATAAGAAACGAAATGGAGAATACCATTTTAAGGGTTGAAAGGAAAAAACATGAAAACAAGAAATCCACCAGAATTTAAAAGGAACAGATATCATCTATCACAGAAACATAAAGAAAAGCGAGCTTTTCCAAAAAGATAAAAATACAAATGAAAAATACCAGAATACATAAAATAGACTTAAAGGGGCTGAACCTTCCAGTGCATGAGGAATGGCTTCAGCTTGTATCTTGGATGGGTTTTTCCACCCCAAATTATCGCAAGCCTCCACCAATTGATCGCATACTCCGAGATCTTTAAAGGATTTGACTTCTTCGTTCACTTCCGCCATTCTTACCAATCAACCTATGAAAAGAAAAATTCTCAAGATACAAAAAAGTTCACTCAAATGATGAAATTTTGTGTCTTAGAAAACTCAAACAAAAACAAAACGTAGCACTAAACCAATATCCATCCTAAAACAAGAATATTCCCTAACCATATCCATGTCCAAACCATGTTATTATGTTAATATGCCAAACCTTTTCATATTGAGACACTCATCTGCAATGCACATAATAACTAGAAAATCAATACCAATTAAGCTTAAAACAACAACTATTCATCTCAGTTGATAATATCTTCATATGTCGGAAACTAGCATCACATAAAATATAAAGTTGAAGGTTTGATTTTCTTTTCCATTGCCTCACTTTTCTTAGCAACTAAGCTATTTTTAGGACCAGCAGATAGGATTTCAAGTTCAAAATTTCAATAATTTAACTCTGAATAGCTTATGCCCCGGTTGGATTGTCGTCCAAGATGTTTTAGCCTTAGAGAGAGAGAAAGACAAACAGATCGATAGATAAGGTGAAGCTTGAACGGTCATTGTATATTTTCTGCCTATAAGAAACAGAAATTCATCAATTAAAACGGAATATACAAACATGGTGGACAGGGTAAATCCAGCCATTAGTGCAAGAAAAGAAATCCATAAATTACAACAAAAATTAAAAACACATTATCCAACATTAAACACAATTTCATTCCAATGTTGATGGATAAAAATAAAGGAAATTCCCAAAATTCTTTAGTAATGAGAACCCATAATGAACTTGAACTTTCACTCTTTCCCAAAGAAAATACTGGAGCACATCTTTCCCATAAAAAAATCTACTATCCCTTTCCAACCAAACAATCTAAAGAGGGCCAAGTCAATGGAAGCACTTTTGTTGTTTCACAAACCTCCACAAAAAAAAAAAGAAGGGAAACACAGCAAGAGCAAGGGAAAATTTAATACCCACTATTGGCTATTGTGAGTGCAGGGAAAAATTTTGGGACTCTAGAAAATATTCTGGAGGCAAATTCAATCCCCAATCCCATACCCCAAACCCCTAAATAGTAACAAAACATCCCAATTCAAACTAACACAAAACAAATAAAACAGTACCAGCAAAACAATGAACTATTGTAGAGAGAGAGCTACGAAGGAGAACATGGAGAAAGAAAGGAGCATGACAGAGAGAGAAGAGGGAGCACCTCAATGAGTTTGGTTGATGGGGCTGCGGGATGTTGAAATTGCGAGGAGAATATAGTAGAATTTGGTGGTTTTTCGGTGGCGGTGGCTGCTTTTGTGCGAGTGTGAAACTCTACGTGTGTTTGTGACAAGAAAAAGAAATCAAGAGATGACGCAAAATAGACGGTAAGCTGATTTTGTGTGAGTGTGGACTGCTGTGTGTGCGCGTTTGAGCTTTGTGTGAAGATCACGAGAGACAGAGAAAGAAGAAGCGCAGGAGACGAAGAAGATGATAGGGGGAGGGTTTCATCGGGTGTTGGCAGCGAGGTATGGTTGGGGTAGGCACTTGTGGGTGAGGGGATGGGGGGTTACGTCACTGATGGAGTTGATATAGTGGTTGGAGGCAGATGGGTGGGTATGATGGTCGACCAGTGCGATGGTGGCTTTGAGGAGGAATAGGGGTTGAGAAGGTGGTGGGTTATTTATAGGTGTAAGATTGTTTGGATAGGAATTGGGGCATTTCTACGGTTGGAATAAGTTTGTCCAATGTTAAAATTATTTGGGTTATTGGTAAGGATTAATTAGTCTTTTCAGTACTTTTATTTGTGCCGTTTGCAAATTGTCGTTGAGAGAGGGTAGTGTTAGTATAAATTATCATACCTGAGGGGTTTGTATGTATTAAGGGAAAATTTCAACCACACTCCCTGTAGTTTATCATATCTTCAATAACATCCCCTCTAATTTTTAAATCTTCAATGACACCCCTATTAGATTAAAAATATTAAGTAAAATCCAATTTTACTAAATTGTCCATGATATATTTGAGGAAAAACATCATCCACACCCCCTCTAGATAAACATATTTTCAATGAGACCCCATGTAAATAAGTATATTTTCAATAAAACCCCCTCTGTTTTCTAAATTTTTTTACGTAATTAAATTCAAATTGATTAAAATTCTATTCAAGTTAATTAAATTTTATTTTTTTGCATATTAAAATTTGTGCCATTTAAAAATTATATTTTTTTACGTATTAGAATTTGGACTAATTAAAATTTTGTTTGAGCCAATTAAAAATTATTTTTAATCGACTCAAATCAAATTTTAATTAATTCGCATTGAATTTTAATCAGCCTAAATTTTAATATATAAAAATATATGAATTTTAATTGACTTAAATTTTAATTGACACAAATTTTAAAAAGAAAAAAAATATAAATTATAATCGACTCAAAAGAGAATTTTAATCGGCCCTAACAACTCGGATAGAGTTCAAATCAGCTCAAATTTTAATATGCAAAAAAAAAAAATTACTAGGCTCAATTTGTTTTTTAAAATTTACTAATTATTAAATAAAAAATTAGTATTTACTAATAAATTATTTACTAAAATTGTTATTTGTGATTTTTTTTTTTTAATTTTAACAGTTTAAATTTTAATAAAATTTTATGTAAAAAAATTACTTGAGGTTATGTAGGGGCATTTTTTGTATTTTAGATGAGTTTATTTTGTTAGAAATAATAGTTTAATGGTAGGGGGTGTTAGTGATGTTTAAATTAAACTAGAAGGGATGTCATTGAAGATTCAAAAACTAGAGGGATATCTTTGAAGATATAGTAAACTAGAGGGGTTGTCATTGAAATTTTTGCTATTAATAATAAATTATCATACCCGTGTGCTTTCTCCAACACGGTGTGTTATCCGAAACATAATTTTGCTTTGAGAAGGAACTTGATTCAACTATATCTTTCTTGGTTCCCCCCTTCAAGGGAGCTGGCGATTCAGATTGCTGAACAAATTAAAGCTTTGGGATCTGGCATGGGTGTGAAATGCGCAGTGGTTAGCTTTATGTTAAATTAATACTAATCATATTCAACATCTTGTAGCCTCTGAAGTTTTTTTTATGTTGCAGTCGCAGACTTACAGTTAGTTCTTGCCTACATAAAACCTGGCTCCACATCTAGTTGTGAGTCTTTTCGGTGGCATTTGAAATTTCTTATCAAGAACTATGGTGGTTTCAGCCTTTAGATGCGAAGTCAATGTCCCAGTTCGGGATTCCTACTTTGGAACTTTGGGTTTCAAGCATTTAAAAGTGTTGTAGCACAACCAGAAGTTCTAGTGCAAATGCAAGAGGCAGAGAAACATTGAATTTGTAAGAACCTCTATAAATGTGACTTCTTGCATTAAATGGTGCTCTCCTGGATGAAAAATTCCTTAGACAGTATGTATGACAATGCCAATATTTAAGTTTCGCATAAAGCAATTATTAATAAATGAAATAATCATAAATTTTGTCAGTGCGCTATGAATGGCTAATGGATCCTTCGATTCATCGAAGTACCTTTTGGCTATCAGTTGTATGTACAAAGAATATCAAAGTAGAAATTATTTGGGTTCATTTTATTTAATTGTTAACACACAAACTCCAAATTAAACTCACGATAATAAAAACATGAAAAAAGCCACTCAACTTTTAGCGCTCGCCTATTGACTAGGGGCGTTGAACCTCACCTCATGAACGAGAAAAAATGATGAACATAATGTCTAAAGAAAAAGAACTAGCCAAGTTTCTTCACAAGTGAAGAAAGGGAGATGAGACTAGACGAATCTACTACAAGAGTTGAAAACACTTTGTTGCTACTGACTTGCAATCTCGATCTACCGATTGTCAATCTAAAAGAGGCATTACTTCTTCATCTGTATTAGAATTTGCTTTGCTTGGTTAGGACTAAGTAATAAGCGACTAAAGAATATGTCTTTAGCTTTGAGGCTCTAGTTGGAAAGTCCAAAAGGACTAGTGTTTGACCACGATCTCTTCTTCTCCCGTTGCACACGCAATAAGCCTTAATTATGGAAACTCTTTTTCCATCCTACAACCGTATACATAGTCTATTTTTTTTTCTTTTCCCCTTTTGTGTTATTAAATGAAAAAAGTAAAAACCAAAATCAATCCGAATCGAACACACTGAGAACAATAAACACCTGACCATGAAGACGAATCAATCTATCTTTGTATTTTCTTATTGCGAAACAAAAAAGAAGGAAAATAATAGCATTGTGCGCAAATTGTCTGAATTAGGTGGAGAATCGTCTAAGAAAAACTACAAATAAGAAAGAAAAGTAGAAGACTTGGATCTACCAACCACTTTGTCGTGGGGGGATTTGCTGTCAAGTCACCCAGAGTTCAAGGTCGATCCATTAATTTCTTCGATTTGTTCAGAAAAGAAAAGGGTGACTAACTTTCCCATTTAACAAAATACTTCCTCGCTAAAAATCTAGAATATCTTGCTGCTCNCCACTATAGTTTATCATATCTTCAATAATATCCCCTCTAATTTCTAAATCTTCAATGACACCCCTATCAGATTAAAAATATTAAGTAAAATCCAATTTTACTAAATTGTCCATGATATATTTGAGGACAAACTTCATTCACACCCCCTCTAGATAAATATATTTTCAATGAGACCCCATGTAAATAAGTATATTTTCAATAAAACCCCTTCTGTTTTCTAAATTTTTTTACGCAATTAAATTCAAATTGATTAAAATTCTATTCAAGCTAATTAAATTTTATTTTTTTGCATATTAAAATTTGTACCATTTAAAAATTATATATTTTTATGTATTAGAGTTTGGACTAATTAAAATTTTGTTTGAGGCAATTAAAAATTATTTTTAATCGACTCAAATCAAATTTTAATTAATTCGCATTGAATNCTTGGATCTACCAACCACTTTGTCGTGGGGGGATTTGCTGTCAAGTCACCCAGAGTTCAAGGTCGATCCATTAAGTTCTTCGATTTGTTCCGAAAAGAAAAGGGTGACTAACTTTCCCATTTAACAAAATACTTCCTCGCTAAAAATCTAGAATATCTTGCTGCTCATTGTTCGAAATTACATGACTGAATTTTTTTTTGTTTTTGTAGTTGAAATTTTTAGCTTATGCATTTGATCTATAGAGTGGAAAAGATGAATTTTGAGTGTAGAACGAAAATTCAATTTGACTGGAACTTAAAACCTATATTAGTATATATTATATTTTGTTGAGTACTATTTAGTAGCATCGCCCATTTATTCCTCCCATGGTTGATTGTAATTGTTTTATTTTTATAGTTTGTCTTTTCTTTTGACCATTTATTTTTTATTCTCAAAAATATAAAATAAAACATACTGAAATTATCAGACANAGCTCAAATTTTAATATGCAAAAAAAAAAATTTAATAGGCTCAATTTGTTTTTTAAAATTTACTAATTATTAAATAAAAAATTAGTATTTACTAATAAATTATTTACTAAAATTGTTATTTGTGATTTTTTTTTTTNATTTTTTTTTGTTTTTGTAGTTGAAATTTTTAGCTTATGCATTTGATCTATAGAGTGGAAAAGATGAATTTTGAGTGTAGAACGAAAATTCAATTTGACTGGAACTTAAAACCTATNAAGTGGCCATTTTCATGTTTTTATTATCGCGAGTTTAATTTGTAACTTGTGTGTTAACAATTAAATAAAATGAACCCAAATAATTTCTACTTTGATATTCTTTGTACATACAACTGATAGCCAAAAGGTACTTCNCTGAAATTTTTTTTGTTTTTGTGGTTGAAATTTTTAGCTTATGCATTAGATCTATAGAGTGGGAAAGATGAATTTTGAGTGTAGAACGAAAATTCAATTTGACTGGAACTTAAAACCTATATTAGTATATATTATATTTTGTTGAGTACTATTTAGTAGCATCGCCCATTTATTCCTCCCATGATTGATTGTAATTGTTTTATTTTTATAGTTTGTCTTTTCTTTTGACCATTTATTTTTTATTCTCAAAAATATAAAATAAAACATACTGAAATTATCAGACAGCTGCTTAATACTTCAATTGTCTTGAGGAAGCCATAGTTGAGTTGGAAGCTAAGGGCAGCTACATACTTTTTTCCAGTTATGCCGGAGCCTATTTGCAGTCGTTTTAGAGATTCTTTTTTTTTTTTTTGAAAAACAAAAAAGATTATTTGGTTATCATCAAATGATTCTGGCCAGCTTCTTTGGGTTTTTGACCAAGCTTGTGGTGCTTGTCTCAATTTCGGTCATTTTGATAATGTCCATATTAGATTTTTTGGGAAATGATTACTTCGGCAATTTGGCAGACTCGTCTGCAGCTGGGTTCCTTCCGCTTCCCTTTTCTCAAAAGAAAAAGGAAACCAAAGGCTTCGGAGGTTATGGATAGTGAGAGGAAGATGTACTAGTTGTAGTTCTGTTTTTCTCAGATGGTCCTTGGAAATAGCTAGCTCTCTAAAAGCCTCCCCTCTTCTCTGTCAGAATATTGAGGTACACTGGTTCTTCTTCTTTTTTTTGTAATCTATTATTATTCGTTTCGATACAGACGAAGGTAAAAGCAAACAAGGCAGAACAGTGGAAGATAAGGAAACATCTTTGATCTCAAA